TGTGTGGTTGCCAGATTGGCGGCAAACCAGGCAGCAAATGTATGCTTTTAACACAGAAGCTCTGATTGGGGGATTTGAACTCTTGATATCTGGCAACCGTAGACATGAAAGCTGGCGCATGTACAGCAGTCCGTAATGTTCATCAAAAATAAAAAAAGTCAAAAATATTGCATGTTGAAACGCTGCAAAACGGTGGTAATTCATACATACACAGCCTCTCTCTCTCTCTCTCTCTCTCTCTCTCTCTCTCTGTGTGTGTGTGTCGTAGGGTCCGCTCAGCTCCGGGGTTCAGGGAGGCAGTCTGATGGTAAACACACACTATATCATCACTATAACAGCACCATCATTATTACAGAGACATGCATTCATAAAATAAAAGGGATTTTAACATTTTTGTCATGCTCGCTGTGAAGTGAATGAGTTTGGTCATGTGTCTGCAGGACACTATAGAGCTGCTGCAGGCGCGGGTCGGTGCGCTGGATGCGGTCACGCTGGATCAGGTGGAAGCCAGGCTACAGGTGAAGCCGCGAGGAGACCAGCGTTTCATCCGTGTCAGACGCACACTGAAACCCATGCCATTAAATCACGCACCACTTCATGTCCCTAGTTTTGAGAAAATGTGCCTTTATGAATTTTACAACATCTGAACTAATATAAAACTGAACTATCCCACAAAAATCAGCAGATGACACTTCATACTGATGTAGTTTTTTTTATTTTTATGTTTTGCTTAATTTTGTGTATGATGTTTATAATAATAAGTATTATTGTAATAATAATAATTATTATTGTATATATATATTTTTTAATTATCTGATGTTCTGTAGCATCAAAGGATTTAATATTATGAATGCCCATTATAATAATAATAATAATAATAATATTGTTTATTATTATTGTTATTATTATGTACTTTTTTAATAATAATTTGTATTTTTTTGCAAAAGTATCTGATCTTCTGAGTTATGTCGCAGCAAAATATTATTATTATTATAATTAATACATTTATTTTAATTACTAAATTTATTTTAATTCATTTAAATTATTAATCCCTCAAATAACAATAATAATAGTGTCATAATTATAATAATAATAATTTTATTATTATTGTATAATTGTTTAATAATGATTATTTTTTTGCAAAAGTATCTGATCTTCTGAGTTATGTCGCAGCAAAATATTTTTATTATTATATAATTGTTTAATACATTTATTTTAATTAATTTAAATTATTAATCCCTATAATAATAATAATACTTTTATTATTATTATTATTAATCCCCCTCTGATAATAATAATAATAATGTGATTTATTTGTGTTTGAGTGTAGCTGTTGTTGTCTGGTCTTCTGCAGAGCGTTCTGGGGAAGATGAATGAAATCGCCAAGCACAAGGCAGCCATCGAGGACGCTGAGACCCAGAACAAGGTGCGTCCCGCAGGCCTGCAGCAGCGCTCCGGCGCTCACTGACGCGCTCTGATCTGTGCTGTGCTGTGTGTGCTGTGTGTGCAGGTGTCTCAGCTGTATGACGTGGTGCAGAAGTGGGATGCGATGGCCTCGTGTCTCCCGCAGCTGCTGCAGAGACTGCTGGCCGTCCGAGAGCTGCACGAGCAGGGTCTGATCTCCTTTCATTCGGCACTCGTTCTCTCGTTTCACTCCAGTGTTTGCTTTGGGATTTAAATACCTCTTTAACTGGCCTGAAAATCAACAGATGCACGATTATTTTAATGGTTCTAAAATAAGGCTTCATGTGCTTTCTGCAAAAAAGTCTAAGTCTTAAAATCAGATTCAGTAGGTTTTGGTTATACACAAACATTTCTCCAGTCTGACGGACCCAGCGAGTGTCCATCAAGAGTACTTTCCCCCCCGCTGTAGTTACCGCGTCCTCGGAGAGAATTGCGGTTACAGAATACAGTCGAACACCAGCTCGCTGTCCAGCCTCCGAACTGCTTTAAATGGGTTCATGCAAGTTTACTGAAAAATGGCTTGAGAATTGCACTTGCCCGACAGGACTAATAGCCTGATTAAAACTTAAGAGACAAAATATAATCACGCATCAAAACGCGCCAATGATTCTTCAGATTTTATTACATTCAGCTTAAACAGCGATTGATAATGGATAGTGTATTTCTATTTTATAAATTAGAATAATAACATTCTTAATTATCTTTTGATATATATTTATTTTATCTTCTCCCCAGAACAACATTATGATTATAATGTTTGTTTAATTATTATCATTATTATTGATTCCAAAAATTGTTATTGTTATATTATTAGTAGTAGTATTAGTATTAATCCTCAAAATAATAATAGTAATAATATATATATTGATTTTAGATATATTTTATATTTTGTTAAATGTATTATAAATATTATTTTATCCACAAAATAAAAATATTACATTATTATTATCATTATTATTGTTGTAACTGGATCTGGACATTTCTTTCTTTACAGTTTTGAGATTGACTTAAAGTAATTGACGATAGAAATCTAGTTTTGCATGTTCAAATTTTTATTTACAACATTAATCCCATAACATTATTTATTGCTGTTGTAATTTTGTAGTGTAGTGTATTACATTTCTTGATCAATTGTAAGAATTTGACTTGAAAGATGATGCATACATGTAATAAGGTAAAAAAAATATATTAGCTTTATGAAGGTAAATGGCATCCTGTGGTAAATATTAAAAACGTGCGGATTTAAGTATGTAAAAGCTGACAGAAAACTGATGAAAATATTGCTTCAGAATAAATAGTTTACACCAAAAATCTCGGTGATGCGACACTTTTGCAGGAATATTTTGTTTGGGATATTGTCTGCCGATATGAAAAGTTCACTGTATATCGTAATAACAAATAGCATTTTTGACAGCGATGCTATTTTGTTTTCTTTTTACATTTAAACGCGCATGTAATATAATGTGTATCTCCATCACAGGCTTGGTCTTAAATTTCACATAAGGTGGTATTAAAAAGTCTTAAATTTAACTTGTTCATATCTGTAACATAATATGATTATTAATTCTCAAAAATAATATTAGTAATAATATATTATTAATATTTATAAATTAGAATAATAACATTCTTAATTATCTTTTGATATATATTTATTTTATCTTCTCCCCAGAACAACATTATGATTATAATGTTTGTTTAATTATTATCATTATTATTGATTCCAAAAATTGTTATTGTTATATTATTAGTAGTAGTATTAGTATTAATCCTCAAAATAATAATAGTAATAATATATATATTGATTTTAGATATATTTTATATTTTGTTAAATGTATTATAAATATTATTTTATCCACAAAATAAAAATATTACATTATTATTATCATTATTATTGTTGTAACTGGATCTGGACATTTCTTTCTTTACAGTTTTGAGATTGACTTAAAGTAATTGACGATAGAAATCTAGTTAGTATTTATGTGTGTGTGTGTGTGTGTGTGTGTGTGTGTGTGTGTGACGCAGCGATGCAGTTCGGGCAGCTGCTGACTCATCTGGACACCACACAGCAGATGATCAACAGCTCTCTGAAGGACAACAGCTGTCTGCTCTCGCAGGTCTGTCCTCCGTCTCTCTGAAACACCGGCGTCTGCGAAACACCGCACGCACTAAACCTGCTGCTCTTCACTCGCAGGTCCAGCAGACCATGAAGGAGAACCTGCTGGCTGTGGAGGAGAACTTCTCCACGCTGGACCAGAGGATGAAGAAACTCTCCAAATGAAAGTTTCTCGTGCCGCACTTTTGTGTTTCTGCAGAGTCGAGACCAAACACTACAGAAGCTCCTAAAGTCTGAAGCTGCCTGTTTGAGTTCTGATTTTACGCCCTTTCCATCCTGATCCACACGGACTTTGTTTTGAAGGCGAGGAGCCGCTGCGTGTGTAAATACAGGCTTGTTTGTGAGCGATCGCTTGTAACCGCTATTGTATTATTAATGTGTGGCGCAGTCCACAAATTAGGATCATTTTCCAATATAGAATTTCAAACGCATCTCTCGGTAATAAAATGCTTCCAGAAATCAGTTTCATGTTGTTTTGAATTTTCGCAGCATTCCACACATTTGCCCAGGGCTCCCTCACCAATGCATTTCAGTCATGATTATTGGATAAGGATTATTAGATTCAGATTTTTACTTTTTCTTTTTGAGGATGTTTTTGTGGATTTGTATTTTTAAATTTTTGTAGATTTAACATTTTTGTGGCTTTGTATATTTTTGTACATGTTTTTACATTTTTGTAGATATTTTTTATAGATTTTATATTTTTGTGGTTTTATATATTTTTACATATTTGTAGAATTGTTTTTGGTAAATTTGTGTAGAATTCTTTTAAATAGATTTCATATTTTTGTGCCTTTATTTTTTACATATTTGTAGAATGTCTGGTAATTTTTTTATTATATTTTATAATATTTTTGCTTTACTGTTTAATTTGCTCTGTTTAATAGCCACAGTTTATGTTTTTTTTAATCAATAAATTACTTGGTAAACTGCAGTGAGAGATTATGGCATAAAAGTTCACCATATTAATATTTCCTTATGCTTACAGTTTTTTCTCGATTGCTTAAACACATGTCTTGAAATTGTGACTCCTTTTTTAGTAGGATTCATTTTACAAATCACATAATCACCTGTGCTCCTTTTTATATCATCCTGAGATTCTGACCTGTGTGTCATCAGTTTTGCTACTTAATGTTTACACTTGGATAAATGTGTGCTGTTTGAGTTCATTTTGTGATTCTTGAGGTAGTTATATTGTGTGTTTGTGTTTTCTAAACGAGAACATGGTTAAACCTGTGCAAAATGATGCCGTTCTTTACCAAAAAAAATTCTACAAATATGTAAAAAATATATAAAGCCACAAAAATATAAAATCTTTTAATTTACATGTTTTTAAATTTTTGTAGATATTTTTAATAGATTTTATATTTTTGTGGCTTTATATATTTTTTATATATTTGTAGAATTTTGTTTATAGATTTTATATTTGTGTGGTTTTATATATTTTTTACATATTTAGATTTTTTTTTTTACATTTTTGTAGAATTTTTTTTAGATTTTATGTGTGCCTTTATTTTTATTTTTTTACATACTTGTAGAATTTTTTTTGGTAAACTTTTTTAAAAGATTTTATATTTTTGTGGCTTTATATATTTTTTACATATTTGTAGAATTTTTTTTGGTAAATTTGTGTAGAATTCTTTTAAATAGATTTCATATTTTTGTGCCTTTATTTTTTACATATTTGTAGAATGTCTTTGGTTATTTTTTTTATTAGATTTTATATTTTTGTTGCTTTATATATTTTTACATATTTGTAGAATTTTTTTAATAGATTTTATATTTTTGGGGCTTTATATATTTTTTACATATTTAGAATTTTTATTTTTTTTTTTTACATATTTGTAGAATTTTTTTTGGTAAACTTTTAAAAATAAAAATAAAGGCAGACATAAAATCTAAAAAAAATTCTACAAAAATGTAAAATTTAAAAAAAAAAAAAATTCTAAATATGTAAAAAAAATATATAAAGCCCCAAAAATATAAAATCTATAAAAAAAATTCTACAAATATGTAAAAATATATAAAGCAACAAAAATATAAAATCTAATAAAAAAATTACCAGACATTCTACAAATATGTAAAAAATAAAGGCACAAAAATATGAAATCTATTTAAAAGAATTCTACACAAATTTACCAAAAAAAATTCTACAAATATGTAAAAAATATATAAAGCCACAAAAATATAAAATCTTTTAATTTACATGTTTTTAAATTTTTGTAGATATTTTTAATAGATTTTATATTTTTGTGGCTTTATATATTTTTTATATATTTGTAGAATTTTGTTTATAGATTTTATATTTGTGTGGTTTTATATATTTTTTACATATTTAGATTTTTTTTTTTACATTTTTTAGAATTTTTTTAGATTTTATGTGTGCCTTTATTTTTATTTTTTTACATACTTGTAGAATTTTTTTTGGTAAACTTTTTTAAAAGATTTTATATTTTTGTGGCTTTATATATTTTTTACATATTTAGATTTTTTTTTTTTTTTGTAATTTTACATTTTTGTAGAATTTTTTTTAGATTTTATATTTTTGTAGATTTGTATATTTTTAAATATTTGTAGCTTTCTTCTGTTTCAGCGGGTCTTGCTAGTGAATTTTTTTTCTAATATTCTCAATTATAAATTTTCTTGCATAATGTGGGGGAAAAACTGGTTAGAAATCTATTTGTGTGATGCTCTTCTTCACACTTGAATCCTAACATTCAGAAGTTAGATATGCATTGCCTTAATGCAACAGATATTGTCATGTGGACATTATTTTCATGATGTCTTTATTTAGTTCTTAATTATTTTCTACGATATTTAAGCAGCTTAAGGTTGTTTTTCTTGCCAGTCAGATGTTAAAGGTAAAAATAACTCACGTTTCTGGGACTTTTCAAAGTTTCACCAATATGTTTCTCTGTTGGAATGTTTCAATTGTTAATATTTAACTACATCACCATGAACAATACTTATAAAGCTTGTATTAATCTTGGTGCTAAATGTTCATTTCAATATGTATAAGAAATCAGAAGTTGTATTTGTTACATTGCTTTACTGATGAACTAACAGTAACAAACAACTGTGTTTTTATTAGTTAAGGTTGAGAATGATGATAATTAAGATGACGAACGACAGAATTTCACTTTATATTTATAGATGTTCAGCAGGGTCTAAACACATTTCTGTGACTCTGCGTTGAAACACTGTAAAAAGCACTAAAAGAATCAGAAGCGAACTTTCATCATTTAAAATGGGTTTAATTTGTTAAATAAAAAAGAAATCAACTCCCAATAAAAAAAGGAAATGCTACTTGTTCACAATTCTCAAAGTATTTTCTTTACAAATCAAACATGAATATGAGAAAGGAAAGGTTTCTCTGCAGGAGAAATAGTTTAAAAATTGATCATTTTTTTCCTAAAAAAGGTGTACAAAATAAAATACTAAAACTGTACATATATACACAAATTCAATAGTAAAATTGCATAATCAGCATCATTATTTTAAATAGTCAGTAATATTCTTGTGCCTGTGTTGATGAGCTCTGTGCAGATCCACGACTAAAGGCCCTAAAACCTACAGGTACATTCCCGTAACACACACACACACACACACACACACAGAAAATATAGATATATATATACGGCCCTGCAAAGACAAAACATGGAGTGATGAGTGAGGTTTGGTCATTGGTCTGACGCGTTTGGAGGAGTGTGAAACAAAACTGTTTGGGGCTGAAAAAGGTTCATGAGGTGCATTATGGGTCATTGAATGATAACACGAGTCGTTTGGTCCGAGGACGGGACAGATGCAGCATCCAAGGGATTTTTGGACACACAAACCAGCATCTGAAGCCTGACGGGAGAGAATCTTAAAGGAATAGTACACCCAAAAAATGTATGATTCCATCACCTGCAGTGAATGGGTGCCGTCAGAATGAGAGCTGATAAACGCATCACAATAATCCACAGCACTCCAGTCCACCAGTTAACATCTGGAGAAGACAAAAGCTGAAACACATCCAGCATTAAGACACTTATAATGTCTAAAATACGAGTTCATAATCCATAATGCTTGCCTGCAGTGAGTCAGTGTTCTGGTGTGAATCAGGAGAGAAATCTGCACAGATCAAGCAGCGTTTAAACAGCTCTAAACACATATGTGGCTGGATTTTGATGAGAGAGACAACAGCAGATGCACTTTTTCACTGGAGGAAGAGTTATTATGGATTATGGACTCTATGTATTTTAGTTAAAGGTGTCCTGAAATGCTTAGAAACACGCAGAGTTACTCTGTGTTGACGTCGTTTTAACTGAAACAGGAAGACAGGGCGGGACATATCAAGCAGCCCCGCCCCTTTTTAAAATAGCCAATAGCGTTCGTTTATATCACAGCTTGGGCTAGAGCCGCTCAGAGCCGCTGAGCTCCGTATGCCAGCCACAATCTCATCCATATTGCTATAAAATATACATTCTGTGTAGAATTCCGATAGCTCCGATATATTGTGAGGTCTGCGGCGACTCGTGCGCGTGATCCGCTCCGTGCTATCGCGTCTCGGGACCGGAGCAGAGTGTGTGCGGTGCGGTGCGGTGGTTAGCGGGACACAGAGCCAAACCAGACTTCTTTGTTTTCTCAATGGAAGCATATTTACACTCGTTCCCTGTCCCCTATATAGTGCACCATCCACTGCACAGAAAACACTGATTCTGTGGACAATATATATATGGCTTGTATAGTGCAGGGGGCGGGGCTTCGGATTCTAGACAGCATTTGATTGGACAGAAAGTCTGATGAGAAGCTGAAGTACGATGTGACGTCATCGTTGAGCCGTTTTGGCGGAAGTGAGGAACTGCAAGCTTAAAACAAACTCATCTACATCTCGTACGGCCCGAGGGCGAGCACATTTACAGCTCATTTTTTCACATTTTTGGCTGAACTATTCCTTTGATCGTCAAACAAGAAGCAGAAGTAACTGAGTTAACAAACAATAACTATTCCTAAACTCACGCAACAATTTATCAATAGTCATCATTGGTTGCCTGGTAACGGTTTGCAAATGTAACAATGTAGCATCAGTCGCATTGGTGGTAACAGACGGTGAACGAACACAAACAGACGGAGGAGGAGAGCATCTCGGAGACTCTTCACAGTGCGGCTCAGACGGTGTTGCCGTGGCAACAGTGCTGGTGTTGGCGGGAAAGTACGGTGGGATCTATCGGACGACGCGGCGCCTCTTCCCTCTGGCGGGCCGCGCGGATCTGGACAGCGCTATCTGCATCACAACACATCAGACACGAGTTAATGCGGCTCACGGCGTGAGGCGTGCGTGTGGTACATGTGTGTTTGCCTCACCGTCGGCTCCTCGGTGACAGCTCTCTGCAGCCTGACAGAAGAAGAAGAAGAAGAGAGTTAAACACAAAGCACTTCACCCTGTTGAGTTCTGAACAGCTGCACTTACGACTGTTTCCTCTTGCGCCCCCTTCTGGCTCCTGCGTGCACATCTTCAGCCTGAGCGGAGACGGAGAAAGAGCAAGGGATGTAAACTAGTACACTGCTCAGTGTGCAGTATGCAGTGTGCATAATAAACATTTCAGACAGTAGTATGCTGTTATTGCCGTCACATGACCTTATTCATCTAGAAAGTATTATTTTATTCTTATGCTATTACATTATTTTGAAACGTAACACAATTAGTAATACTTAAACTTAAAGAAAAGCTATTTAAAGCTAAATAGAAATATATAAATAAATATCACAAGCACAACGAAACTACCAAAACACATACTGGGGGAAAAAAAATATATTTTAAACATATTACTAAAACTTAAAGTGAAAAGAAAGCAACTTAAAGCTGAATAGAAATAGTCAAGAAAACTAAAAATGACAAAAGCACATAGCTAAATAGAAATATATTTTTTAAAACTAATAAAAATGACAGAAGCACACAACAAAATGACAAAAGAATTTACTGAAAAAAGCAATTTACAGCTAAATATATATATATATATATATAAAAGAAAAGCATAACAAAATTACCAAAACTTAAATTGAAATAAAAAAATGTGCTAAATAGAATTATTAAAAAACGAATATAAAGCACAACAAAATTACTAAAACTAAAAATGATCATTTCAGACAGTAGTGTGCTATTATTGTTGCCACATGGCCTTATTAATCTAGATAATATTTTATTATTATACTATTTATTATTATATAATAACAATCTTTGAAAAATCTTTTAAAAATTTAGATTTAAGAATCTAATTTTATCTAATAATTCACTCTAATAATTAATTTTATCTTGTGGATCTATTGGCAATTTATGTTTAATTATAATTATTTATGTTTACTCTGTTTTAACAATGGTTTTGTAAGTTACAAATATCAATTTAATTTTTAGTTTTATTTCATTATTGTAAATTAATAAAACCTGAATCAACAGAATATTTATATTTATTTTAAAATAAGCAAGACCACTGAATTTAAGACTGACTGATAAAACTAAATCTACTCAATTTAACGAGGCTCTTAAAATAAAATAAATAATAATAAAAATGACAAAAGCACGTAACAAAATGACTAAAACTGAAACAGAAATAACTTGAAGCCAAACAGAAAACTAATAGAAATGATAAACGCACAGACAATTATTAAAACTTAAACTGAATGAAAAGCAACTTAAATCTAAATAGAAATATTTAAAAAGAAAACTACTGAAAATGACAAAAGCGCATAAAATGACAAACTTAAAAATAATTCAAAGCTAAATAGAAATATTTTAAAAAAGACAAAGCATGACAACTACTAAAACTTAAAAACAACAAAGCTAAATAGAAACATTAAAAAGATGAAAATGACAAGCACATAACAAAATGACAAAAAAATTAAACTGAAATAAAAAACAGCTAAATAGAAATATTTAAAAGACTAATAAAACTCATTGCAAAATTACTAAAAATGAAATGTAAATAAAAGTAACACAGCTAAACAGGGAAAAAAATTAAGAAATTGAAATAAAAACTTGAAAATATAAAAATAAAAGCTAATTCTACTTTATCTACTATTAAAAAAAATAATAAAATAGAAGCTTTCTATTTTTTCTATTCTATCTACTTGCTTTTCTCTGTGTGTGTGACAACTACTAAAACTTAAAAACAACAAAGCTAAATAGAAACATTAAAAAGATGAAAATGACAAGCACATAACAAAATGACAAAAAAATTAAACTGAAATAAAAAACAGCTAAATAGAAATATTTAAAAGACTAATAAAACTCATTGCAAAATTACTAAAAATGAAATGTAAATAAAAGTAACACAGCTAAACAGGGAAAAAAATTAAGAAATTGAAATAAAAACTTGAAAATATAAAAATAAAAGCTAATTCTACTTTATCTACTATTAAAAAAATAATAAAATAGAAGCTTTCTATTTTTTCTATTCTATCTACTTGCTTTTCTTTGTGTGTGTGTGTGTGTGTGTGTGTATAATATATATATATATATATATATATATATGCACACCTTGCTACGTGTACTGCGTTAGGCTAACCGAGACTTTTGCACTTATATATTGTTGCTCTTTTGTAAGTTTTGACTGCTTCTGTTGTCTTCATCTGTAAGTCACTTTGGATCAAAGCATCTGCTAAATGATTAAATGTAAATGTAATTCAAAATAAGAATAAATACTATAATAGCTGTGATCGGTGCACTCACCCCGACTTGCTCTGCGTCTCGGACGTCCTCGACTGCTTCTCTGAGCCGCTCTCCCGAACTCAAATATCCCTGCGGCCTTCGTCCATCCTCCTCTTCATCGTCTCCTCGTGCATCCGCTCCCGAGCCGATCCCGTTGCTGTAGAGGCACAGGTCGGTCTTGGCCTCCTCCATGAAGGCGGGGTGCAGCGGCGCAGGTTTGCAGGGCGGCGGCGGGTCCTCGCTGAGTTTGGGCGTCCCGCGGGCCGGGGACTGGGCCGTGTCCATGCCGAGGCGGGAAAGGTCCGGGTTGTGGACGGAACAGGCGCGGCGCGGGCTGAGAGACGGAGGCAGCTCGGGGTACGAGTCGCGCTCGCTCACCTGCAGGAAGGAGGTGTAGATGGTGTCCATGAAGGAGGCGTACGGGTCAAACGTCTCTCTCTGCTGCAGCGGCGTCTGGACCGGGCTGAGCAGGGAATCCTGGGACATCTGAGCCGAGGGAAGCTGCTCCTGAGACGGAGCCGTCTTCTCTCCCATGAGCGCCGGTGCCATCGTCAGCTGAGAATGAGAACACACCCATAAACATGATTCATGCTTCGCATTATTTTTTACAAATTTTACAGTGAAATACAAACCGGGCTTAATGTATGAATTTCTTGAATATTAAAAAGAATGCAAAAAATTATTATTGATTTAATAATGGTCCATTAAGAAAAAAAACTAGTTTTTGGAAACTGTGATACTTTTTTCGGGATTCTTTGATGAATAAAAGTTCAAAAGAACAGCATTTATTCAAAATATAAATATAAATTTATACACAATATAAATTTTATAAAACAATATAAATCTTTGCTATCACTTCTTATCAATTTAACACATACTTGCTGAATAAAAGTTTAAAAAAAAAGAAAGAATAAAAATGTACTGACCCTAAACTTTTGAACAGCAGTGTATATTGTTAGAAAATATTTCTATTTTAAATAAATGCTCTTCTTTTTACCTTTTTAATCATCAAAGAATCCTGAAAAAAGTATTGCAGATTCCTAACAAATATTTTTTCCAGCTCTGATAATAAAGCAGCATATTATACTGATTTCTGAAGATCATGTGACACTGAAGACTGGAGGAATGATGCTGAAAATACAGCTGCACATCACAGAAATAAATTACAGTTTAATGTATATTAAAATAGATAAACGTTATTTTACATCATAATAATATTTCACAATATTACAATTTTTCCTGTATTTTTGATCAAATAAATGCAGCCTAGATGAGCAGAAGAGACTTCTTTTAAAAGACACAAAAAAATGATTAGACATTTTCAAGAATGTAGAGGGTAACTAACAGATTCTGCACAACAACTGGATCTGAATCTGACGGTAACGGTCTTGAAGTTTGTGAAAGGTGGTGAAGATTGTCTCATGACGATGGTTTACAGTTGCTTTAACTGACGAACCCCTCTGAACTCATGCCTTTTACTTAGGTGTGTAAAGAGCCGTCTGGTGCGTGAGTTTACCTGCAGGCAGGTGAGCGGGTTGAGCGCTGTTTGGTTCTGTGTTAGCGGGACGCTCAGAGACGGGCCCTGCGGCAGCAGCAGCGCTCCGGCTCCCAATAAACCGTGAAGACTGCTGATGTTCCCAAGAGCTGCGAGGTCACCTGAGCACAGAGAGAAACACCATCATCCGCAGCAGCTCAAACGCTCATGCTTACTCACAGAGAAGACACTGGGGGAAGCACATTACAATAAGAACATTATAGTAGCAGGGCTGGGCGATTTTTCAGATTTTATGTACACAGTATGTAAGTTTTCACCACTAGAGGGCGCGCATTCAAAACAAAGGTGTAGTTTGATGAAGCTGTGACTGAGTGTGGAATCATGGGAGTTGTGGTCTTCATCCCAACAGCCGATGCAATCCGACGGGACTCAGGCAGAAATCATGTTCATGGATGAGCTAATGATTTATTAACAGGGTGAGGCTGAAAGCCATCGAAGCGAAACGAGGCGCTGAAGAGCGCGACACACGGCTGGAAAGCAGCGGGGCTTTTATTATGCCACAGTCGAGCGCTTCCGCTGCTTCCGGTCGTGCGTAAGTGGGGTAAAGCAGCGGGGCTTTATCATACTACATACATTTGAAAGTTCTGTTATAATGCTACTCTGTGCGGTCTAGGGTTAGGTATCATTTGGGGTTTTTTCGATACCGGTGCCAAATCGATACTTTTAAAACGGTTCCAGTGCCTAAACCGATACTTATTAAAGAATAGAGAAAGAATAGAGAATACTAGTGTTAGAGGTTATTTTTTCTTTATAAATAAAACAAGTAGTTAGAATAGAAATAGAATAGAGTGCAAATGTTAGATGATCAAGTTTTTTAATAAAAAAAAAACAAGCAGATAAAATTTGAAGTAGCATTAGAATAGAGCGTGCTAGAGTTAGAGGGTCAAATGAAGATGAAAGAGATGTGTTTTCAGCCGTTTCTTGAAAATATTAAGGACTCAGCTGCTGGGATTGAGCTGGGCAGGTCGTTCCACCAGGAGGGAACAGTTAATGTAGAAGTCCATGAAAGTTTTATCGTAGGTAGAATGCAAAAGGTTTCAATGCAAGCATTGCAGTCAAATGCAATTTATGCAATATTTCAACCCTTTAACCCACTTGGGAAAATCAACCCATGGCAACCGTTTAAAAGTAGCCCAATTCTGTGGAAAAAACGCGGACTTGGCAACCCTGCATCCAACAAGAGCTGCAGGAGTCAGATCTGACTGATCACAGGTTGAGAATAAGGAGAGATGACTGACAAGACCATGCTGGAGTATTTGCTGCTCAATTCTGATTGTGAGCTCATTGACAAATATCGGATCCCGTAAGACGTGCTAACTTTACACAGAGTGCGTGTGATCATGAAATCGAAAGTGAAAGTAAACAGCGCAAACGCTCATTCAAAAATATTTAAATACTCCGCATACCGAGAGCGGCTCCCTGACGCGCCAAAATTATATACAATATTAGAATGTTTAAAGGAGTGGTCACGAAAATCGCGTGAGCGAAACGCATGCTGCGGGAGCAGGCGGCAATGGTCAGAGACTCAGCGGGAGCGAGATTAAGAAAACAGCCGAATCCCGGACATTTAAGAAATCCCGGCCGGATGCATTTTTGTAGGCCCAAGGCACATAGGTACCGGTGCCATATTGGTACCAGGTTTCGGTACCCAACCCTAGTGCGGTCGTCACCGGTCTATTAAAACGCACAACATATTTGCATCTTTGGTTTTCCCGCAAATCGAGGGGTTATGACGTTACTGGCAGGCGACACGATGACACTATAAACACACTCCATGTCACTAGTTAAAATTGCTTATTTCTCTGGAGTTAAAAATTTTTCGAAACATTTGGGATAATGTAAGTAGTACACAAGTCAGCAAAATATATAACACTGTTCTAGTGGTTTTTGGATATTTTAATAAAAATTTTTTTACATATCGTGCCTTTAATTCAAATTGAATGTTTTGCCACGATTTTATTTTTTTATAGATTGAGGAATCACGAATTTGAATAGAAATATCACCAAACGTTAGAATTAGACTCTTTGACAGTATGCCAGTGATAGAAAAGAGAAGAATGATCCGACCGCATGTCGGAGCCGTTCTGTGAAGCACCAGAAGGAGGTGCTGTTCACACTGAATGCGCTTTTGTGTTGATAAAGATGCGACGCAGGCAGTGGAATAGGAAAACATGCAGGAAGATGGGAGTTGAGTTTCTTTTAACTTGAGCGCTGTGTTTTTAGAAAGCCGTTTCGTGCAAGAGATGCGAGCGCAACAGTCAAACGCGTCCATAAAAGCAGTTTTCATGTTTGCATCATGGAGACAGGCTGAAAGCTGCTGTTCAATGTTTTTACAGAACATTTATAGTTAATAATTGTCTACTGCTGTTTTACCTTCAGCCATTTTTAATTTGAATTACCTTGACTTCTGAGATTTTTTTTTAAAGCATTTTCCTTGTATTATTTCTGAACATCTAATATGTTTAAGACAAGTTTGTAAGATGTAGTTGTAGTTCATGCATCTTTTCTGCAAAGATATTTAACAAGCGATTTGTTTAACATTGGCATCATGTGCGGTGCACTTGAAATAGAAATTTCTTTAACTAGAGGGTTAGTAAAGAAAAAATTGCTTGAATCATGTTGTAGTTACATTTTCAAGTTGACTAGTTAAAAATCGAGAATCAGTCAAAAGAAAAGTAGACGATCGAAGTAATAGACGATCAAATATCATGTCACAACTGCAAACGAACAGCACGCATCTAAAGTGTCTCTGAAGGAAATAATGCATTATTTATCGGCTTTAAGATATCGGCCAAATTTTCTTATTGGGCCGATACCGATAACAGAAAAAATGAGCATTTATCGGCCGATACCGATATGGTGGCCGATATATCGTGCATCCCTAGTTTGTATGCCTGCCAATCTATTCAAATTTTTAATGGAATTAATTACATGACATGCCAATTAATTGATTTAATATTAAATCGCACATTTGGGCTGAGAAATGACCTGCCAAAAGATAATTTAAAGTCATTATAGTGTTCAATGAGAAAAGCATTGAATAGACTACAATAGATTACAAAAATAGTTTTAGAAAGAAATATGTTTGATTTTACGATTTAACTTGTAAGGCCATAACACTGTTTTCAGAAGCTGCATTTGAAGTGTTGTAAATAAAACAAATGCATTTACACTGAAATTAGAATCATAATGCTGTGAGATCAATGGTTTTAATGTAATATTGAAATATACATTTTTTTTAGTCTAGAAGTCAGCGAATCATTCATTCAAACGATTCATTCAAACAGCTGATTCACTCAGAAATGAATCAAGTGACTATGAACAAGTCACTGAATCACTGACTCATTCAAAAACACAGATTCATTCAGTAAGGAATCACTGCTGTGTTATTCAGTTCTGCTGTGGCTTTGACTGGAACAATTTTCATTGGTGAAATTGAACAAAATAGAAAATACTGACAGCATTGTGTCTAAAATGTAACAATATTACCTTCTGTATTAAATCAATATCACATTTGCAATCGTGCAGATATTGGGGAAAACAGCACTCTTGCTGGTGTGATATTGCTAAACTCTATCATATGATAGAAATATAAGAGAGTCATTTATTTTTTGCCCTCATATCTTGACTTTTAGGCTCACAGGCTTCATCACACTGTCAGTCGGTCGTCCTGCATCATGTTCATCAGCAACTGCATCAATGTAAGATGACGGACAGGATTAACGTTAATGATAAGATGTTTTGATTCAAATGTCTTTTTTCCAGTCCATTGTTTGAGAAAAATGTGTGAAACATTAAATGAGGATAATGACAAAAACAAAGCATGAAGAAAACAAGATTTTGAAACCCAGTGTCTTCCAAGTTCTGAGTAAGGCAATGAGATCTTCTCAATTATGTTACTCAAAGCGGCAGAAACACTGTGCGCAACAGTACAGTCAGAAGCTTTTCAATCTACAACTTACCATGGATTTACTATAGTAACACTAATGTTGTGGCAGAAATGTGGGATATTCATATCAAATTGTATTAGATTATAGACATGTATTAAAGGAGTAATGGAATATAATTATAGTATTTTTGTAATTAAGCTATAGCATTTGTGCATTTATTTTTACATTTTTCACATTTTTAATGCAAACACAAAGTACATTATCACTGAAGTCCCTTTCAGAAGAAACAAAAGCCCTCTTCGGCTTTATAATGGTTAGAGACTTGAGGTTATTGTAAAGTCACACCAATTGAAAGAAGAACTTACTACACATTTTTATAATTATAGTTATTCCAAAGAAAGGCACATTTAAAATAGGTAACACTTTACTTAAAGCCTTTATGTATAATGCATTATAAAAGGGTATGATGCATTATAATTATTCATAATGTGCATTGTAATACATTATATCTTGTTGTAAATAATTATAACCGAATTTGAAAGGCATAATGTAACAATGAATTGATAAGTGTTAGAATGTATTAACTGTAGTTACAATTATTCACGAGATTGCACAATGCATTATAAGGTGCATTACAATAATGCATTAAAACTACTTTTATAATGCATTATGCATAAAGGCTTGAAGTAAAGTGTTAAAGTGTTTTCATTGACAAACTGATCCACTTACCAAGAACCCCGGGGGCGAGTAGAGGCGGCAGGAAATGAGGTGTCTGGGTGTTGTTCTTGTCCTGCTCAGCCAGAGGGTCACACACTTCCGGCCCCGTGCTGGACACCAGAGGGCCGCAGGACACCGAGGTAGAAATCAGAGCAGGGCTGGACAGAGTCCCCTACGGCCACACAGATTCATATATGTATTGCACAAGATGCATGTACTCGGATCTCAAAACAATGTTCCAAAGGCACAACCCGTAAAACAAGGACTCCCAACCTTTATCAGGTGAACTTTCCTGATATTCGACTCCTGCGATTTAGCACTGGCAATTCTGCATTGACATTCTGAGGGTAAAAATGTCTCCAAAATTCAAAGAAAAAATATTTCACATAAATAAAATAAAGCCTATTTTTATTAAAGGCATAGTTCACCCAAAAATTGTTCGCCCTCATGTCATTCCAAATCCATAAGACTTTGGTTCATTTTCAAAACACAAATCAAGATATTTTTCTCTCCGCTGAAAACCCAAGTAACTAAAATGGGTTATGAGTTTGGAACAACATAAGGGTGAGTAAATGGTGACTATTTAGATTTTTGGGTGAACTATCCCTTTAGCATTAAGACTTTTTGCAACGTGAGATTAATTTCATGACAATTGACAACATTTTCAAAACAAATTCTCAATGAAGTGCAAAAAAAAAAAAAACACTTGCATGCACCAGACAAAATGACTTGGAAATTACAATATAAATAATATTTAATTACAGTAAATGCATTATAATAGGAGGCTGAAAATGTGGAGACCGGGAGTTTAAATGCGCATGACTGTCATGAAAATAATACCACATTTAGAAGAATATAATGTCCAATCCTTTTGACTTTGAGGTTAACCGCAACCCTGACATTTATTTTTCCAGTTTTTATGAAATTGACCCTTGTATTAAAATTGCACAAATCCATCATTAACCACTAGAGGGAGAACATCTGGTTGGGAAGCCCTGTCATTGTAAACAGATGCATCAATTGGAAGCATGCAGACTGTATGTGCACATGTAGCGAAGCATGCAACTGGTGCGTGACTGTGCGTGTACCTGAGAATGAGGTGGGGGGGATGGTGCGTGGTTGGGTAGGGGTTCGGTCTGGGCGAGAGCTGCGGCCAGCAGAGCAGGGTTGAGGGACAAGAAGGCGTGAGGGGGTGGAGTGAGGGAGGCGGAAAGAAGTAGCGACTGGCCGTCTGCACTGGGTGCTAGAGTTTGAAGAGCCTCCAGTAGCCCCGGCCCCATCAGGACCGAGTCCAGCAGAGCGGGGGTCTTCTCCAGGGACACTCCGTCCGCAAAGACCTGCTGCGGTGGCGTAGGAAGCTCCAGGTTGAGCGCTGGTAGTGGCAACATGGCAGCCGGATTCTGGCCGAGCAGCAACGATGCCATGAGGAGGGCTTGAAGCCCAGGGGGTTTTTCACCACCTTCCAGCCCTGCAACAGGGGGCAGCGGCGCAGCAGAACCTGACGGATTTAACAGGCTCATGAGGTTGAGAGGAAGCTCGCCCTGGTTTAGGACATTGAGAGGAGAGCCCTGGTTTAGGATAGCACTGGCTGGCTGTTGATGCTGGGCTTGGTTGCTGCCGGGCGCAGAAGGTTGGCTGCTCGTCCAGACCCCTAAAGGCAGGGAGCCAAGGAAGGGCGGCAGCAGGGAAGGCAGACCGGCGTTGGAGGAAAGCAGCTGGAGGAGCTGTTCTTGGGACATGAAGGGAAAAGCCTCTGCAAGGGAAAAAGCGGGGTCGGTTGAGGGATTAGAAACGTCAGAAGAGGGGGCATTGGGCAGAGAGAGGCTGTGGTCGGGCTCACAGCCACCCAGCAATCTTGTGTCTGAGTCCGGCTGATCCATCATCTCTACAGGACCTGCCAAGAAAATACAAGTGTAAAACAGACCACCTAAACATCATTTCATGTATAAATGCTCCAAAAAAACACAGGATAAGAAGTCTCACCTTTACTTTCCACAGCTTGGTTGTGGTTTGACTGGTTAATTTGGTAGGTACTGTGGTCAGGACAAGTCTCTGTTGTTTTGGGTCCACAACCTTTGTCCAGGAATGAGGGAAAGCATGTTGAGGACATCTGGTTCATCATGCTCAGAATTGAACTGTTGAGGTCCGACGTTGTGCCATTGTGGGGCTGGCTCAAGTTCAGAATGGTGTTATTGGAGGTTGTTTTGAGGTTCATTGTTGTCTCGTCACCCATCAAAGGAAAGGGTTGGGATGGGGGTTGCTGGATAGGAGGTTCTGGCATGGGCACTGTGCTTTGGGGTTGAGGTTGCGGGGTGGGGTTGAGAAAACGTAATGTGGACTGCACGTTGCACTGGGGCGTCTGTGGAGTGATTGGTCTCGGTGAAGAGGGCAACGTGCTTGTGTGCCTGTTGCCAGGCATGGCAGTGGCGCCGCTGGATTGCTGGGTTGCACTTTGCATGCTAAGAAGCTGAAGCAGGGTGGAAAGGGGCTGGGATGGAGATGGGGAGGAAAGTGGGAGGGAATTAGCAAGTCCTGGCTTCCTGCCTTCCTCCGAATCCTGCAACCTGGAGGCATTCGGAAGAGCGACAGGTAGCCGGTGGTTGTCTAAGTGAGGTACAGGAGGAGGTGGCGGCAACAGGCATGGGGAGATAAGCAGAGGCGACCCAGCGAGATCTCCTGCAGTCAGACCTAACTGCGAGTCTTTGAGCATGCTCAAAACGGTGGACGAGCGCCTCTGCCGTTTGCGCCGCAAATTTTTCTTAGCGACAGCAGGGGAAGCCGGGGAAAGGGAAGGGGAGTTTGGAAGCAACAGGGCGGTCAGGGACTGTGCTCTGGCAGAAGTTGGGTGGACGCTACTGTTTAAAGTGCTAATCAATACCTTTGACTGCTGTTCCTTGTCCAAGCTCGTAAGAGGGAGTGCGGCCAGCGCATCGGCTGCATTGAGCTGGGTTTTCTGGTTGGCCAGCTGGGCTTTGGCGGCCGCAGAGAGGAGGCTGCTGGCCGGGAAAGAGTTATTGATGTGGCCCTTTTGCTGGCTTTTCTGTTGGTTGAGAATCTGTCCTAGTGGAAGGCCAAGCAGTCCTGGGGCTTGAGCAGAACTCACTCCGTTCCTCTTGTCGCCTGCGTTGGGATGCACCAACGACAGGGCTTGTGACATCTGATGGTTGCTTTGGTTGCTAGAATTAGCACTGGAGCTTGTGTTGGAGGTACTACAGTCTTTGTAGTGCTGCAGGATGCCCTCCAAGCGACTACATGGACTGGAAGGCGCAAGAGGAAGCTTGGGAGAGGAGCACGCCATGGTGGGCTGCAACGGTTTGCCCCCCTGAATGAAGACGGACCCTTGGGCCCCGTGTTCTGAGAGCGAGGACGTCGAAGAGTGGCGAGAGCGTTGGTGGGGTGAGAAAGTGTCCAAGGTACGTGAGGGTGACAGAGGAGAGGGCGACTTAACACTCGCTCCCTGGGAGTGTGGCGGAGCTGCTCGACCACTCAGCGCAAAGGATGAAGTGGGGGATAAGGAATAGGAACTGGAGGGGTCTGGAGGATGCATATGCGTGTGTACACCTGGTTTTACACTGTTAGGAGAAGTGGGGCTGTGCAGTGTCCTTTGCGGTGGATGAGGGCTCCACTGCTGTTTCGCGTAACCAAGCATGCAGCCCACTGTCGTTTGAGGTTTCTTTAAAGGTGAACTCTGTTCTAGAGGCTGAGAAATAGAGGCAAGGCTAACAGAACCATTTTGCACAACAGCACGTGGAGAGGACAAAGGAAAGCCAATGTTGGATTTGGGATGGTTGTGTCTTTGCTGAGGGTAAGTGCAGTGGGTGCCGTCTCCATGAGCCACCATTGATCCTCTCAGCTCTCTGCCATCCACTGAGCATACAACACCTCCTTAAACAAACAATCAGACAATACAACTCACCTTACTGAAGAAAGCTGGACTTAAATACAGGTGCCTATAAAAAGCATTTCCCCCCAAAAAATCTAAGTTGTCTAATAAACATGGCATTGCATATTATGAATGTTGTTGGCTCTTTGATAAACTGCTTTGGTTCCTCTTTTGTAAGCTGCTTTGGATGAAAGCATCTGCTAAATGCATAAATGCAAATGTTTATTTTAGGACTTTAACACTGAATCATAGAGGGTTGGCTTTTATGACACTGAACAACAGAAAAAATATTCAGATTTCAAATCACTATTTCAAATTAGGTTTCAAGACCTAATTTCTTTAAACTTAATTTTGGTCTCAGACTACAGAACCTTCTTCTAGCTGGCTTCAATGTCTCAGACAAACTGTAGCGGAGATGTCATATGACATCTTTTAACAGTGACTTTCTTTTTGCAATTTTAAGCCAAGTAAAGTAAATCAAATGTGGAAAAACTCCAAGGGGGTGAATACTTTCATAGGCACTGCATATCACACTCTGATCTGGCTAGTAATGTTTTTTTTTTAAAAAGGAAACATGGTGGTTGCAGTTTAGTTTACAAGTTAAATAAACTGAAAATACAGTGAACTGGATACTTAAGACAAACTATGAGAGACTGCATACTTTGGTCAAATGTAATAATTTGAATAAGTCATATTTGGACACAAGATCCACTGCAAGAGAGCAGCAGTGGTCACATACTGTAATTTACTTTAGGACAAGCTGTTAAAGGTATGTTCTGGGTTCAATAAATGTTAAGCTCCATGAAGAATATCTGTGACATGCTGTCGATTGCTACAGACAAATATTGCAACTTGTCCCTCAGTTTGTAAAAATAAGTCAAAAATGTGTTTACAGTAAAGAACTTTTAAAAAAGCATTTAAGGTTTAAATGCTGGAATAAATATTAATATACACACCATTTTGAAAATATATGCACAATAATTAATATATTATTAGACAATAAAATAATTGGTAACATTAGTTCATGCATTAAACAAACAGAACAATACTTTTAACTAAGATTAGTAAATGCTGTAAAAAATGTTGTGCATGAATTAATGCAGTAAGTGTCATGAATGAACAATGTTTATGAACTGAACAATTTTTTTGTTCTTTGATTGGTGTATTGTGGTTTTATTTGTCACTTGATTCTGTACAGCTTTTGGAACAACAATGTGTTGTTTTTAAATGTGCTTTTAAATTAAAATTAAAATTTTGTGTTGTTTTGCGGGTTGGTCACGAATTTAATAATAGTTTATTTTCCCAAATCCTCACCATCTCACCCTCTATTTTCACAGGGGATTATAAACGTTTATTTTCTTGTCAGTCATTTTAATCCATGTTTTCACATCTCATACTGTGGTAAAAAAAAAAAACTAGTAAATTTCCTATTGTAAATATATCAAAACTTAATTTTTGATTAGTAATATGCATTGCTAAGAACTTCATTTGGACAACTTTAAAGATGATTTTCTCAATATTTAGATTTTTTTGCACCCTCAGATTCCAGATTTTCAAATAGTTGTATCTCAGCCAAATATTGTTCTATCCTAACAAACCATATATCAATGGAAAGCTTATTTATTCAGCTTTCAGATGATGTATACATCTCAATTTCGAAAAATTGACCCTTATGACTGGTTTTGTGCTCCAGGGTCACATATGAGGAGACAGTTATCTTTGTGGGGAAATATAAGTAAACTTGACCTGATTACTAAATTTCTATTGCACGCACCACATAATCGACCATGATAGCTTTAATCAATTATTAATCGATTGTCGATTAATCATTAGCATCCCTAATATATACAGTATATAAATAAATATATATATATATAATTCAACACGTCATGTCACAGAACCTGGAATATTCCTTCTAAAAAGTCATTGTGTTGGAAAAATGTGTGCATTAAGATGCAATACCTGTGGCTTGAGCCGGCGAGGGAAGATGGGAGGGCTGCATGCTTTGGCATAACGCTGCCATGGCATCAACTTTCCTGCGATGGTTACAGAGTTTGGTCATGTCTTCCTCTATTTTCCCCGACTGATGACCAGGAGCTTGGACCACCGCAGCAGGGTCAAAATTAAAGACCTGCATGAATTTAAAAAGACACTTTTTATTTTTTAAATGCATGCAATAAAGTTAATGTTTAAAATTGCATATTAACATACAACTATTATTAATTCTGCAGTATGCAATGTTTATACAGTACACAGTAAGCACGCTTTCTGTATGCATGGAATACATTTGCCAAAAAGAGCAAAGAAGACACTGCGTGTGCATTTTGCAAAGCAGTGCACTCAACTTGACCCTCCACTTCCAGTGTAACAAATAAACCAGTATTAATCATATATAGGACTTTAAAAGTCTACTTAAAATTATCAGATGTCTGAGATAATAATTGGACGCTGATAGATAAATAAAACATGCAACATATCAACAAGGATTCATATCATAGTGTTTCACATGTTATTAATAAAGTAGTCAATTCCAAACATAGCTGCAAACTATAATGCCTAATGAATTACTCTATCATGAATGAGAAGGCTTCGGCACTCAATGTTGATCTCACCTTTAGGCCTGTCACGATAACAACTTTTTGTTGTGCGATATATTGCCCCAGAAATAATTGCGATAAGCGATATTATTGTCATTTTAAAGACCATTTTATGCCACTGAATATATAATCATAATGTAACAGCATAATAATGCAAGAAGGCCTAAACACTTCCAAATGACAACAAAATTTTAATTTTTAAGAATATTTAGATCATGGAAATTAAGTATCAAAATATTAGATGCCTTTAAAAACCTGAATAAATAGTAAATAAACATTTTCTAACAAAAAGTGCAAAGTAGGAAAAAAAATGAAAAATGCACTTGTATGGAGATTTTTCTAAGTAAATATAATAGACGATATATTGCGTCACCAAAAATGATTGAGGTCATGTTAGTGCTGGGCGCTATACCGGTTCATACCGAATACCGGTGTTTATTTTTATGATATGAATTTTTAAAATACCGCAATATTTTAAGGAGTGTGTCGCTTAAACAACGTTGGGAACGCGGCACTGTTTGAAAGGCGTCTCTTTTCACTGTTGCACTGTGGTGAGGGAACAGCTGTACGTGTTACTAAGAGTGAAAGTTCAGAAACTGAAGCTGTAGAACTAATAGAACGTGATGACAAAGAAGAACTCATCCACAATATCCACATTGACCTCCACAAATATCCAGCGCCCCCTGCCATCAGCTCCCGCGTCTCACACACACCAGCGCCACTTTAGCACTAGATTTAGCAACTTTCAGACCCTTTTAGCGGCTTTTTCCATAGAATATTCATACTGACAAACCTAGCCACTTTTTTGGATAAAGCTTAGCTATGGTTCAGTTGGAAGATTGGTCTGACTTTCCCGGAGAAGTGTCTCCTCTCTCGGCATCTGTTCTGTGCAGTGAGCGGCAGAGAAGCACCGCAGCCGACTCCTCAATAAATGAGAACAAAACAGCGTTTCCTAGCACCTGTCGCTTACTGATTGTTTGGAATTATAAATATGAGCGTAGTTCATCTGTTAATATCACATGCACTTTTTAGTTTGTTGTTGTTTTTAGTTTGTTACTCAGACGCAGGCAGTGCGCTGCACGAGACAAAACAGTAATCTAGCCAAAACAACCGCATAGCCGCTCTTTAGTGTAGATGCATGCTGATTTTATCAGACGATGCCGCGATTATAAATGAGAGAGACTCCTGGTTAACATGTATTAAAAGGGGTCGTGTTTAGTCACTATTGAGTGTGGTATTTTTTGACATTATTCACTCATCATGACAGTAAAATAGGGCATTCTAAGTCAATATACTGCAGTATTTCCTCTCAATCAGTAGAAGATATGGTTAACACCCGGTCATCATGCATGAAAAAAGAATACCGTCATGTACCGTGAAACCGGTATAATTTCGAAAAATACCGTGATATAAATTTTTGGTCATACCGCCCAGCACTAGGTCATGTACATATATTGCGCGATAAGTCGATATATTGATTATTGCGACAGGCCTACTCACCTTATTTGGGACTAGCGGGCACTCGAGACCACACTTACATGTGCCGTCTGTCCGCAGATACACCCTCAACTCATCCACAGATCGAAGGACTGTACCACTCGGGCTGAAGAAGAAATAGACAAAGACTGATATGTTTGACAGCTCTTTTTACACTTGTTTTGATTGTTTGGCTCGAAACAGACTTCAGTTCCAACCTCTTCCCCTGCAGACATCAATACAGCTGACATGAATACAAGCAGCAGGTGACACGCTTCATTGTTTTTATTCATGATTTCATCATTTTGCTTATAATACTAAAACTTGAGCACAGAATGGCATTTGTGTGTTTGCTGGTTCTTACTCTCTTTGCATCATTTGAAATGCTGTGCACTGACAGCAACATCAGCAGAGAGTAAGACTGACAAATGCATTATACTATATTCTATACACTAATTCTAATATAATGAAATAAATTCCACTATGGAGAAAATGAGTGGGATTTTTACTTTCAGACTGTTACACTCTAAAGTTCCGGTCACACCAAGGAATCACTTTCAAAATCACTTTTTCCAGCTGATGAACAATAAAAACATTGACAGCCAATCAGAATGCACTTTAAAGAGCTCGAGCATTTAAAGCAACAGACGACAAAACTGCAGCGTGTGCATATATAACAAACAGAATGTTATGGAGCGTTGGTACGGATGCTAATACAGTCTAATATAGCTGTTCTTGGTGTCAATGGGTGTTTAATTCATTTTCAGATTGCTGTACTGTACTGGTCTTCACATAAACTTTACACCAGACCAGTTTGGAGCACCGTTTCCACATTAACCAAACACACTCACGTCTGCACTGGAAGCCCTAGTGTGAATGCTAAATGCACTCGCATGCGTTTGAGGAACGTTTGCTTGGGTGAAGCAACTTGAAAAATGTTCCTTATGTACCTTTTAGTAGCAACACTGTTCAGATTTGATCAGAACAGCAATTATGAATGACAAAAAGTAAGGTGTGGACGTACCTGATGTAAGACACAGCCCCAGCTTCCACCTTCCTCTGCCAGCCAACCGGGATCTGAGCGATGAGAGTCGTACCTCCATCTTTTTCTCCTGCTGCACTCTCACTGCCCCCCGTCATTTTCTGCTCGCGCACATCCAGCTCCTAAAGACACAAACCACTTACAATTCAGCTTCAGACCAGATTTGATTAACCAGATTCGGTTTCAAACCTGATTTGATGAAGCAGGTTCAGATTCAAACAAGATTGAGACTCAAACCAGATTTGATGAAGCAGGTTCAGATTCAAATCAGATTCAGTTTCAAACCAGATTTGATGACCCAAATTCAGTTTCAAACAAGATTGGGATTCAAACCAGATTTGATGAAGCAGGTTCAGATTCAAATCAGATTTGATAATCCAGATTTAGATTCAAACCATTCAGTTTCAAACACGATTGAGATTCAAACCAGATTTGATGACCCAAATTCAGTTTCAAACAAGATTGGGATTCAAACCAGATTTGATGAAGCAGGTTCAGATTCAAATCAGATTTGATCATCCAGATTTAGATTCAAACCAGATTCAGTTTCAAACACGATTGAGATTCAAACCAGATTTGATGACCCAGATTCAGTTTCGAACTACATTTGATGAACCAGTTTCAGATTCAAATCAGATTTGATAATCCATTTAGATTCAAACCAGATTCAGTTTCAAACACGATTGAGATTCAAACCAGATTTGATGACCCAGATTCAGTTTCGAACTACATTTGATGAACCAGTTTCAGATTCAAATCAGATTTGATAATCCAGATTTAGATTCAAACCAGATTCAGTTTCAAACAAGATTGAGATTCAAACCAAATTTGATGACCCAGAGTTTCTAACTACATTTGATGAACCAGTTTCAGATTCAAATCAGATTTGATAATCCAGATTTAGATTCAAACCAGATTCAGTTTCAATAACACGATTGAGATTCAAACCAGATTTGATGACCCAGATTCAGTTTCTAACTACATTTGATGAAGCAGTTTCAGATTCAAATCAGATTTGACTCAAACTTCACACCTATTTTCAGTTGGAAAATATGTTCACACTGCATCTAGGCTAAATACAGTTGTCACTCCACTTCTGATCTTTTAATCTGTGATTATTCTGGATTTCGGATACATTCATAAAGTACAGATGTCATCATGTAGTGACAACTACATTTACATTAAATCAGTGGAGTGCGTACATTTTAGTTTGGTTAAAAAAAAGACAACAAACTAGGTACAATGTTGGCAGAAATGCCAAACCACACCATGGGTTCATGTGCATTCTTTACATTTAATAAATGCATTTGTCACTCCAAACACTTTGCAGTATGTACGATGTTACAACATTCTGCAACTTAGGGTGGCACTTTGTGCTGTACCTTTTCATTTTTATACAGCCTTGGTCAGCACCAATCGTGAAAGACACTCTTTGGAGGACGTTTACACAGCATTAACGAAGCACAAAGCAATACAACAAATTGACACGCAATCCTCTCCGGTCCTCTCAAACGGACTGGGATGCTTCTATGGAACTCTCCAGAAGCTGACAATCTGAAAATATAGAAAAACATATTTGAGGTGGCCTCGACATAGCATGAGTAAAGAATATAAACAGTTTATAACTAATTTCAATACAAACATGGGAAAAATGAACCATAAAAATAGGAATTTCGACTATATTGATATACAAGGTACTATTTGATCACCATATTCACGTGCCATGGGATCTGGCACCAAATACCATGGTACAAGTCTAAAAACAAGGTACTTTTTTGTCAGTGTCCAACTCTTGACATTGACAGTAGAGTGAAAGTGACAGCTGAAACTTATACTCAGCGCGCCAACTCAAAAAAAAATCTAATTTGAGTTATCGCGATTATTTCACCGCCTAAAACCGTATCATTTCAACGGTTTTTATTCTGGCTTAAAGGCGGATGATTGTGAAGCGGCTATGACTGGAGCACAGAGCTAAAGCACAAACAAACCACCACCAATAAAAGTACGCAAAGTTTCGGGAAAACTAGAACTTGAATACGAAAAGAAAATCGGAATGTAACGTTACTCACTTGCGTACCGCGCTGGTAACGTTACTTTTAAACGCTGTAACGTTACGTCCCGAGGAATAAACAAACGTCGCGTATTGACGTCTAGCTGGCCCATTCTTAAACATCCTATCTGTATCGTAAGCTTACCGGACACATAATAACACCGCGATTATAACCAATGTATCGGTCTTGTAACATTGTAACGGAAGCGTTCTAGTTTGTCGCGTCGCGCGCTGCTAGCTTTCTTTAGCTCGCGGGCTAACGTTACGTACCTCTGTGTTTACGAAGTTTCCTGCTTCTTCGTGGCGCAGACTGAAGACCGAGCAAGCGTCAAGACGGACTCGAGTCGCAAATGTCGCCGTTGCGCGAGCTGTTACTAACGCAGGGTGGTTTTCAGCCACATCCCCGCGCACCATCCGAGCCGTCCTGCTTAAAAACAAAGAGCAATAACGCTTGGTTTTATTGCGCCCCGTGCATTGTTGTCCAATTCCGTGTGAATCCTGCTCGTGCGCTCGCTTCATTCAACGCTTCGGCGCCCTCCCAAGCGTCTTCACTGCGTGCATATGCGAGCGAGGGACTGATAATGCCTTTGTGGTGATGCTGCTTTCAGTTTATCTTCGTTTCCAAGTTCCTATCTTTCCTTAGGATCCCGTGCCAAAAAAAAAAAATCATGGAGTTTTCGTCCGCGCGTGCGCAGTCGGGTCGGGAATTCCGTACAATTCCACGTCCGCTTGGAGGAGCGCGAGAGCTGCTCGCTGAGAAAGACCAGGAGTGCTGGGGTTGTTTTAGAATTATGCAATATTTGCATGTTGTAAAATAATAGCTGTTATTTCTCTACAGAGATGTTCGATATGACTTTGAGAAACCTGTCATATGTCAACAAGTTCAAATGATATGAACCAGTCTCTTCTCAATGGCCATCATTTATATAACAAAGTCGCTTTTTATTTATTTTTTGGTTACACTTTACTTGTGCATAAGACTGACATGACACCTTCATAATCATAGTTTTATGCATGTTTATGACAACTCATTCGCTCAGTTATGTCAGTTTTAATGCAAAGATGACATTGTTTGAGATGTCTTTGTTATGGGCTATGGTTAGGTCAAATAATGTCATATTTGCATTAAAAATGACATAACTGAGCGAATGACACTTAATGACAGTTGTCATAAACATGCATAAAACCTCCTTCATGTGTCATGTCAGTCTTATGCACACCCCTTCAAGTAAAGTGTTACCTTTTTTTTCTGTGCAGTGGGTAAATTTAAAAAATAAGTTTTTTTTATTTTTTATGATCAGCCTCAAACTACTCAAAAATGCCTTTTCGGTCCGGTAACCTTAGATGTTCATGCACTTAATCTGCAAATGCGCAATATTTAATGGAAGTGAGCGGGAGGCGAGAATACCCTGAGAGAAAGATCTTTCAGTTAGTCTTGCATTAAAATGATGATTGCACACACACACACACACACACGCATGTCTTTATTGGCCTTATTGTGTCAGTTAGCTGAGAAAACAAAAAAA